TGACCTAAAATTTAAATACACATTGAACTAAAATTCAAATACAGCTACAAATTGACCTAAAATTCAAATACAAATACAAATTGAACTAAACTTCAAATGCAAATACAAATTGAACTACCGACCAGACTTTAATTGTTCGTACAAGAGTAGTCGGGGTTTGAACATTTTGAGTAAATGCCTCAGGTTTTTAGCTCTATGATGTACCCATGCCGGATGGATAGGTGGTAGAGGACTATTCGCGACCAAATTAACAAACATGAAATCATTGTTGTGCAATGTCACAACAATCATACATGATAAGTGACCAATGCCAAACATAGGAAGGTAAGTCATACTCCTTACTTTGGTTAAAAGTACCACTAGTATTTGGTAGCAATGCCCAATCCCATTTCAATCATGTCCATCCAATAAGCTTGTGGACAAGGCCCTGAGGTCCAGTCACACTTGCGTATGACCTCAACGTATCCAGTACTGCCAAACATCGACGTGTACACATTAGCATGCTCGTATAACTCAATAAGAAACTCCCCTCTCACTTGCGGCCATCTTTCTTGATCCTCGTACACGGCTTGAGCAACCCACCGGTACTTACAGTTGCCATCTGCCATCACGTTAACATAATCTTGAATAAGACGGACCATATATCTGGGCACGAAAGAATAAAAGTCGATTCCTTCATGTGCAGGTATTAATGTAGGGACACCAGATTCTTGTGTGGGAATACGAGAACCACTACCTATCATCTTCGATTGAGGCGTTCCATCAATGCTTCTCTCAACCTTTGTTTTAGGAATCTTTGCACCAGATGAGGCGTGACGCCCCTTGGAACCACAAGACAACTTAATTGTCTCCTCATCAATATGATACTGCCATCCGGAAGGGTCTCTCTTTGTCGAGTTATTCTTTGGTCGTCCTTTGGTCTTAACAAATGATGGCTCGGACAGATGCGACGTAGACGGATAAACGATGCCACGCAATGAGGCCACGACATTTATCTTACTCGTGTAATTCATCTTCTTAAAATTTCAATTCAGGTCATCAATATGTCTATCCACAATCGCCTCGCGGTTTACTTGATACTCAGGTAACTCCGAAAGTTCAACTGCCATGTTACTCCAGAATGGATGAAAGTCTGAAATGACGAACGTGTCATTATCTTCTATTTTCTGCAATTACAAATATTACACCGTCTTCGAGTCGATTAAACCATTTGTAACCAAAAAATATTTTCTTCGTAAACAATTGCGTGCTTTGTTGATCCGACAAGATTATTTGGAAAGTCACATAACAGCTTTTTAGTATTAACCTCACATACATAGGCCTTCTTCTAATCTATTACATTTTTTGCTTTTACAAAATTTCTTTGTCTTTTTATTGGAAGCAAAATGTTTCTATTATCTGTTTTTTGTTTGTAGAAACTGTATTATTTCATATTCAATAACACTGTTGTGCTGGTACCGGCTAAAATATTTGAAATTTACATTTCTTTGTATACAGTCCATCCTAGGTTGTGGTGTGCTCTGTTTTAAGTTCTATATTGTGTACAGTTTTTTTAATCTATGATCGATACCATACTCTAATGCATGTTAAGATCTTTTATGATGCGTATATAATGGGCAAACAACATCGCGCATTGCGCGGTGCACTGACCCCTAGTGTGTGTGTGTGTGTGTGTGTGTGTGTGTGTGTGTGTATATATATATATATATATATATATATATATATATATATATATATATATATATATATATATATATATATATATATATATAATCTATTTTTTAGGGCTGATAACTTGTTCCTTTTATAATTTAAATCACCTTCCTTTTTTCTAAAGGATTTACACAGGATTGTGGGGAAAAAACCCTAAGCGGCTTAGAAAGTGAAAAAATTGGCGGCTAATCAACAATGAAAAAAAGACTTGGTGTTTCAAATTCTCTCCAGAATCAGATTTATTGATAGTTGAGTTGTTGTTACAGTGATAAACACAAACACAAAGCAATATCCAAGTCAAGAAAATGACGCCCCAAAAACAGTCTCTGAGTCAAGAAAATCAGATGGTGATATCTGATGAAAAAAGGGTTGCCATGAATGTTGAACCAGAAGAGGTAGCAAAAGAGATAGAAATGCTCGAATCCAATGGAGAAGGGAGTCTTCCAAAACTAACAAGAAGAAAATTGGTGACCTCTTTTCAAAACAAAAAGAACTCATTCTCCTTACTGGTCTTGAGCATTTTTGGATCCACAAAAGAATCCATGATTGGGTTGGCGTTCACATCTTCATGAATGGTCATCTTCCCCACTTTAGTAAGAATCAAATAACTGAAAAGTTACGTCGGATGAAACTGAAATTCGGAAGAATTAGGGAGAAAGGAGGTTTCCGTGATTTTGCATCAAACAACCACGAAGCCGATGTTTATGAGTTGTCCAAAAAACTATGGGACCACGAAATAATTATCACTACCCGTAAGAAAAAAAATAAAGGGAGGGAACTCAAAGTAATTTTTGTCGAGGTTGTATGGTTTTAGTTTTCTGTTATTATGCTAAGACTTTTTATTAATTCTAGGTTCTAGACGTTTAAATCTGTTTTTAGTTTTTGGAAAAATTGGCGAACATATTTATGTTGGAATAATTTTTTTGATTAAGTCTTAAGATGGAATTAAACTATGTCTCGGATCTTGCATCGCCGTGGACTCCATCTCTTGATCCAATTTCTCCAATATCAGATGCGTAACATAACAAATCAAACTCTGAAAACACGGCCACATTGCAGTATACTTCCTTATCTTGGATGATAATGAAAAATCGCACTTCAGCTGACTAATTTGGATATAAACTTGTTCCCGAAGTTTGTCTTGCACGTTATCTAGACCTCCGGTCGAAGCATTTAACCAACCCTTCGCAGAAAAATGAGCACTCTCCACCCTATCCGATTACAACGACAATCAAAGTATACAACGACAGTCAAATTACAAAATAAATATTATTTTTATATAATACATTATGAAATAATATATTTTATCATTTAAATAACTAAAACATGTAATACTTGTTGGTGCTCGTGTTGTCAAAATGATACACATTGCGGGTATTGGCTCGGACAAACTTCTCCTTGTATATCAACCACGTATTATTCAAATATTGTATCAGTTTAGGATATCCTGCATACCATCCAACAATTTTATTGTAATTCCAATGAAACTCTTCTTCGGTTTCTGATTTCACCAGCTTATCCCACAACACACGTCGGAATATTAGACATTGGTCTTTGTTGCCTCCCATAAATTTCGCCGCATTTGCCTCAACATTTCTGTTTATATGGAATATACACAACATATGATACGAAACTGGGAAGACATTTGGCAGTGCTTTCAAAAGACCCAACTCCATGTCTGTCAAAATCGCATTAGGTTCGACACCATCTAACAACTCTCTCAAACAATTCAAAGTCCACTTGTAGGTGTCTGCATCTTCATGCGACATAAATGCAACAGCAATCGTAAAATTCCTCCCAACTGGAGTTATCCCAATTATTTCCAAAAGATGCATTCCATACCTACAACAATGTTTTTTTACATATTTAAACAATACAATACATTAAAACACAACAATCATAATTTAAACAATCGTAATTTTTACTTATTGGTTTTGTATGTGCAGTCCATCAATATAACATATGGGAATAGCCGTAGTAACTTAATAGATTCGGGACATGCAAACATAACATTTGTTATTGTGTTGCTCGTTTCACTATCGACGCGATGCCAATATCGATACTCGCCTTGTTGAAAGTTATGCATCATAAAATGAATAACAGTCATGCCCTCCATTTCCTCATATTTAATCTTGGCCAACTCATTATAAACATGCTTCATAGAGGTTTGTATCGTCGGGTCATCTTTCCTCAATCTATCCATGATTAGCATTGGCTTCACGTGAGAATTTCTCAATTCTTTAATTCTTGCTTTCTGTTGTGGAGTTATAGGACTAGTCGTACCATGTCCGTGAGGAAACAAAGTCGGAGGATGCCATAGCTGACAGTTAACCGCCATAATTCATCAAATCTTGACTTTTTGTCAATCAATTTGAACGGACAACCACATTTTTTTGTTCCAGTGTTTCTAGGATCTTCCACATCGATATTAATTTGTCAGCCATGTCCGTATTTGTCACACGTCAAATACTGTGCATTCTCCCTTCTAGACTGACAAATCAAACGGTGAAAATGACTAACTGCAGTTGCTTTGGCCCACTTGATTAATTATTCCCTACTATCGAACACAATATCAACTTGGAAGAAGTGGGAGAAATCTTCATATTCGTTTCACTCCAAAACTGAGGGATCAAAATACAAATTGTCTTCATATGGTTGCGTAAAAAAATAAGTTAGATACTTGCAAAAAACAAAACAAAAAAATAGGGATTTCGTGTAAAAGTACACGAAATAAGTATGTACATTTCGTGTTCAAATGTACGAAACTCACAACAAAAACAGGTTACTGTCTGTTTCGTATTATTTTACACGAAATACTAGTTATAATTCCGTAGTGTTTGTACGAAATTATTGGTAAACATAAATATGATGTTAATTTCATACATAACACCACGAAACGATTTGAATAATTTCGTGATATTGTACACAAAACGACTGAAAATCGAAAAAAAAAATCAGACAAAAACGTATTTTTTTACCTCATTTAGGGGATCGGTGTTGGCCATCTTGATAATTGCTGGGTTTTAACTGATTGTAACGAAAACAAGTCACGATCCACAAAAGTTGGTATATTTGGAGGTTGAGAGGATTTCGAAATAGGTAAAGGGTATCTTGACAAATGAATTATTTCGTACTGTAAACGCAAAAAAAATGCACAATGAATAATAAGCCCCTTATATAAATTTGCTTGTACTTGTAATAATTTTTGTTTTGATAAGCGCCTTTACAAGTTGTAAAACATATTAAAAGAGTGGGCTCATTGACGAAAAAGAAGAAAACAGCAGAACTTAGAAATAACAAAAGTTGGTGGTGAGGGACTTTCTTATAAATAAACCATTTTATCAAACCTAAAACTCTCACCTCAATCCGCCGTCCGACGCCGTGTCTCTCCACACTCGCACCACTCCCTCCCTTCTTCGGCGGCAGAAAGCACTCACTACAAAGACATTTTATCGGCTTGAGCCGAGCCGCCAATCTCAGCTCGTTCACACCTAATTCCTCAAATGGAGTGTGCTTTGGGTATGGCCACCGCCACTCATTTTCCGTCGTTCTCGAGACTAAATTCATCACCAAAAGTACGGCTCTTCTCCGTCACTTGCCAATCTGTTTCTCTCTCCGCCTCCGAGAATGGTATGTATGCATTCACATTTGTGCCTCTATTTTTTTTTTATTCTAATGAAATTGGTTTTTAGGATAATTGAAAATGGTTTATTTTGATGATAAGTGGAGAGGCCATGGAAAGTGGCGGATGCAAGGTTAGTGCTGGAGGATGGTTCAGTTTGGAGGGCAAAGTCTTTTGGTGCTTCTGGAACTCAAGTTGGTGAAGTTGTTTTCAACACTTCTTTAACCGGGTAAACCTTTTTTATTATTATTATTATTTAAATTTCCTTTTGTCAACTGTGGTATATTTGTTCTTCTTGCACTGTGTTTATACTATTGCTATAATCCTTTATTATTTTTACGCAAAAGAGTTAGATGTATGAATTAATTTAACTTGATTTTGGTTTCGTCGATAATAAACGTGTTCCTTTCATTTGTTTCTCCTGTCCATTTTACCGATAAGGTCTCCGTCAGTTTGATTTTACACAACGTAGGAAATGAAATTGGTAAATATCGATTGTTGTCAATTGGCATGCATGAAAGTAAAGGGTGGGGTTTTTGGAGACAGTCATAATTCTTACAAGAAACGAGCACTTTTGTTAACTGGTAATGTGCTTAAAACAGAAAGGAACGATTATCATTTAGGATTTTTGTCGGGTTCTTCTCTATGTTCCGTCACCTTTACCTTCGGATACATTTACTGAAAGTCAAATAAAAACAAGAACAGCAATAAACACCTTTCTTGAAACACAATAAAAACCAAAGAACAAAAATATGTCCAACAGCACAAAACACATAGTTCGTAAGAGCCGAATTCGTTGTTTTAGGGGTGAGTTCGGGACGGGAATTCGGGATTGGGATTTCGGGATTCGGGATAGAAATTTTAAATCCCAATCCCGTCCCATACTATTAAATCCCGGTATATCGGTATCCCTAAATATTTCGGGAATTCGGGATTGGAATCGGGAAATCCCATATTTTGCCTTAAAAGTAAGAAATATTGCATTTTTTTCAATTATTATTATTTTATACACTAAACCAACTTGAATATATTATATACATACTATTGTTCTTACCCTATTTATTTTTACAACTTGTTTCGGAACAAATAAAATTTAAAAAATTTAAAATAAGTTGAAACGATGTATTATATTGTATTTCTCATCTCTTTGACACTATATATAAATTATATATGCAGTCTACCATAGAAAAAAAGTTAAACAACCATTTTTTTTTTCTTTCCCACACAAAAGTTAGAATACTCACGGCACACCACACACCAAAAGAAATAAATTATAGTTTTTTTTTATTTTTTTCCTAATTCAGAATTGAACCAAATCCCGATCCCGAATCCCGTAATCCCAAATTCCCTAAGTTTTAGTCCCAAATAGTAAAATTCCGATCAGGACGGGACGGGATCCCGAATCCCGATCCCAAATGCCCAGTCCTACGTTGTTTTACTTCACATTGACTTTCGAGATTCAGAAAAGGAGAACTCACAATACAGAAGGTGGTGAATAGTTCTTGTAAACAGATCTTGAGAAGTAAGATCAAGTTGTTTGTGTTTCTATCTTTTTAATTTTGTACATAATATTGTTGGATTCAAAATGTGACATAGAAGCCAAATTTACAAACTTGAGTAGTAGGCCCTTCGGTTCTAAGATGAATGAATACTTGTGCACTAATAGGTCCGACTCCTGCCATTGTGCTCACTTACAGAAAATTCTAAGACGCAACCGATTTTGCAATGGTTGGATCTCAATGTATTACTAACATTTTCGTCGGATTATCATTGCAAATTTTGCACTTGTTGGGTGTGCATATTGATAAGAGGTTATTTACCTCAATCATGTGGATATCTTACCCTTAAAAAGTGAGGAAAACTCTCAAACCGTTTTTTTAGATATTATTATGTATAATTATTGGTGTATCGATCGATATTCTTTAGTCTTTATGATAAGTGAAAAGGCATGAATGTGGAACAGAAGTTTTTTTTTGTATCTATTATATTCTTTTGGCATAAAGACTATACTTGTATCTATCTAACTCGATGGGGTTCTGTATCGAATTTCCGTTTCTTCGCATTCCAGATACCAAGAGATTCTTACGGATCCTAGTTATGCTGGCCAGTTTGTCCTGATGACCAACCCCCACATTGGCAACACTGGTGTTAATTTTGGTAAGTGTATTGCTTTTTCTAAATTTTTTTCTCAAACTATAGTTTGAAATGGATCTGATTTGGCATTCTTTTCTTGACAGATGATGAAGAATCAAAGCAATGCTTTCTTGGAGGACTGGTTATACGGAGTTTGAGTATTAGGTTTTGAGACTTTTTTAATTATGTTTCCTCCTTTATTTTTCATTTATAAATGTGTTAACTTGTTTTTTTCTTTATATAACTTTGACTTTTTTTTTCCCTTCTTATCTTGTATGTTTATTTCTTATAATGCAGCACCTCAAATTGGAGATGCAAACAAACACTTGGAGATTATTTGGCGTCGAGAAACATTATGGGAATATGTAAGTTGTGATTCATAGCTCAATGTCACTTTGCAAATGATAGTCATAGAGCGGTTTGTCGGTTGTTTCTGAATCTCTTGCTCTGTTATGTTACGCTGCAGATGACGTGGACACTCGTGCAATTACACGTAGATTAAGACAAGACGGCAGCCTAATAGGTGTATTGAGCACCGAAGACTCTAAAACAGATGACGAACTTCTCGAAATGTCTCGAACATGGGACATAGTTGGTAATATTATTTTTTTTTCCCGATAGCTAAAAATATGTTGACGTACAATTCAATTGTCGCAATGGCATGATACAATATGATTGAAATTGGCTTCTTTTGCGATGCAATTCAACAGGGGTGGACTTGATCAGTGGCGTATCGTGCAAGGCTCCGTACGAATGGGTTGATAAAACAGGTTCAGAATGGGATTTTAACTTCAACAAAAGAAACGAGGACACTTTTCATGTTAGTAACACATGTCACTCTTAAAGAATTGTATGCAGATTTGGAATCAATTATTTTTTTTTTAAAAAATTATTTATTTTTTTTGGGATGAAGGTTGTTGCTTATGATTTTGGTATAAAGTACAACATACTCCGTCGATTGGCATCGTACGGCTGTAAAATCACCGTGGTTCCTTCAACATGGCCTGCATCCGAGACACTTAAGATGAAACCAGATGGTGTGCTTTTCAGTAATGGTCCAGGTGACCCCTCGGCAGTTCCTTATGCTGTTGAAACTGTTAAGGAAATTATCGGAAAAGTTGTTGTTTTCGGAATATGCATGGGCCATCAATTGCTTGGTCAAGCATTAGGTGGTAAAACCTTCAAAATGAAGTTCGGTCACCACGGAGGAAATCACCCAGTCCGCAATATTCGAAATGGCCGTGTTGAAATCAGTGCTCAGGTATCGTCAATTTTTCCTTTTTGCTCTGTTTCAGGTTTTGCATGCATTATTATTATGGATAAATTACAACCACCCCTGAGGTATGGTCAAATTACAAAAAACCCCCTCCTATTTGGGTAATTACAATCACCCCTCAACTAAAAATCTTCTTAGACGTCCACCCTTGCGGTTTCAAATTTAGTGGAATCTTCAAGATTATATAGAATATTATTACTTTTCTACCCGTTTTATCCCATTCGAACTCTACATTTTGAAGCAAGATGATCATAATGTGTTTTTTGGCTTGTATATATTAGATTGTGGTGCATCAGAAACTGTATTTTTACACAAAACGAGTACAAACTAGAGCACATTCCACGAAATCTAGCTGATTATGTTGAATTTGACACCATAAGGGTGGAGTTGTAGGAACAAAATCATAGTTGAGGGGTAGATGTAATTATCCAAACAAGAGGGGTTTTTTCGTAAATTGACCATACCTCAGGGATGATTGTAATTTACCCTATTATTAGTATTTTTTTTTTTTTTGAAGTTTAATAACTTTTGAGTTATATTTGTCTTCTTGTTCAGAATCACAATTACGCGGTGGACCCTGAATCGCTTCCGAAAGGTGTAGAGGTAACTCATGTGAATCTGAATGATGGAAGTTGTGCGGGGCTTGCTTTTCCTCAGCAGAAGCTCATGTCACTTCAATACCATCCCGAGGCTTCCCCTGGGCCCCACGATTCTGATCCTGGTAACTTTTCTAATTTTTCTTTTTAAATTGAATATTCACTTAACAATCAGTCTCGAGCATTTCTCTGCTTCAAAACTACACTATTCTATGACCTTGAGTTGAGATTTAGCCCTATCATTGCTTATTACAATCACCAAGCCCTTTTCTCTCTCCTCCATCTCGTTTGTTACTTTCTATAGGAGAAATTATTCAGCGAAACGTATGGAAAATCTGCTATTTTTGAACTTAATAACGTACTTTAAAGTATAAATTGTTTGATGGTGAAGTGATAGGAAATCTTGCTGTTTTCGTAGTTAATAACGTACTTTAATTTATGCTTGTCGGTGGTGCTAATTGAAACTAATCATTCTGGAACAGTGTTCGGAGAATTCATACAGCTAATGAAGCAAGAAAAGCAGCGGGCTTAACTAAATAAAGGGAGCTCTTGCCACAAAAAGAAGTATTTACGTAAAGTGCAGTTGATCCCGTATTTGGTAATCTATGTGTGTCTAGATAAAAACATATTCTGCAAATTTCCGCGTCTGTTATTTGTTGTTATGCATGATCGGTCTAGCTTACCGGTATTTGGCCTACGTTTTATTTATTTATTTATTTAAGTTGAGAAGACCGTGCGAAAAGCAGTTGGATAAATCTTTATAAGATTAAATTCATAAAAAAGTGCATTATTGTTCGTAATGGAATTTCGGGTTAGAGAATATAACACCAAAATATTGAGAGTTTCTATCAGATGGTTTCATTTATGTATCCAAAATTAAGGACCAGTTCAAAATTAGTCAATGTCTTGTTTAACATCTTTTAGTTGATGAACCAAAATAACAATTCTAATTACTTATATGGTTGACATTGACAATTACAAATCTTTTTGTTTTTTTTTTCTTCTGAAAAGAGTATTTCCAACAAATCCACCCTGCCCCAAATTCCGAATCTCAACAACGTGTGCAAGACTTAATCAAGTAGAGAGAACAACGTGCATACCAACAACCTTTAATCCACTAATAATTAATATTTAATTCATTCAAAAAACACTAATAATAACAAACACTCAAGTAACCAGTTTCGATCTTATAAAAATAAGGGTTTATTAGGGAAAACCCCTTGTTCATATTTTCTAATGAGGTAGATCCAATTTTTTTTCCCTTTTTTGAGATATACCCAATTTTGCCAACTTGGCAAAATATATTATATAATTTCCCTTTAATACCCCTGTTTATTATTAAACGGCATTTATTTCCTTTAATACGTGATTTGAGATTTGCTGATACGTTGTCTAAAATCACGGAATAAATTTACGTGAGATCATTGGCGTTATATCAAATCGTGTACAATATTTTTTGAAGATTCTCTTCATCGTTCCAGCGGGTTTTATCGTCTTTGAAGATTTCTGCACCGTCGTGGAAATAGGATCGATTTTTGAGCGTTTGTTGTTGGACGTTGTTAAGCGGCTATGAATGCGTTATTCGTTTTTATTTTTTGCTCAATGTCCATGATTGTCGTGTACGGTGGTTAGAAATTTTTAAGAGTTGTGTTGATACTTGATTCTATTAAGTAGAACGTTTTTTAACAAAATTATTCCGTCATATATATATATATATCGTTTTTTTTTTGCCGATGATGTTTGTTTGGAAGAGGATTGACAGAGTTAGAAGAGGATTGTTCACGGAGATCGGATCAGAGTTGTTTTATATGAGTTTCGTAGTTGGTTTATGCAATAATCGGAATAATTGTCCGCTGTGGTCGAGTTCATGTTTTTATCCCGATCGATAGTTGGTTTATTTATTTATAACAGCCGATTTAAGTGTGCTGGGTAGTACATTAAAATATAGTTCATAGTCTTTTTTAATTTAGCGTATGGATTTTGCATTTTAAGTTTATTTTTGATGATATTAATGTATTATCATTCAAATGTATTTGCAGTCTATTTAATCATTTTTTAGTATTCTGCATTTTTAATTTTGTTTCATGATTTTAGGTTTTTTCGCTGGCGAATTTCGTACGGATTTTGTTGAGGTTTGGTGGGTTGGTTGCTATAAAGAGGTGTTTACGATGTAATGACTCGGTAACTTCGGTTAAGTGTTAAACCGTTGTAATACAGTAGTATACTATTATGAATCCCGTATGATACTACCATAATCATTTTATTATACTATTATGAGATTATTAATGTACTATTTTATTGATTATGTGGAATACTTTACGTTGGTGTTGTTCTCAATGTTCTTGTCATTTCAGTGGTATATTATTTGTAACACAATTTCATATCACTACTATAACCGTAATATACTATCATAGCAGATTAATGTACTATATTGAAATTATTAATATACTATGTGGTTGAATAATACGGGATCCATAGTCGATTAACGAGATCCATAGTCGAATTAGATCAATAAGATAGTCTATTACATGATATAAGGAATATTACCCTAATTGATTAGTATTTCAAACAAACATATTATTCAGTTTCCATATATATTATTATTTTTTCATATATATTATTATTTACCCTAATCGTTTTCATATAATAAGAAAAATTACCCTAATTGATTAGTATTTCAAATAAACATATTATTCAGTTTCCATATATATTATTATTTTTCTAATAGTCAATTAACTAAACCCATAGTCGAATTAGATACATGGGATAGTCTATTAAAAGATATGAGATAGTCTATTAATTTTAAAACACAAATCCGCCGCCGTCACTTCTCAAATCTAGGGTTTTGATGATTCTTCGGCCCATAGTCGATTAACGAGATCCATAGTAAAATTATACCAGTGGGATAGTCTATTAAATGATATGGGATAGTATATTAATACAAATGTAGTTCGACTATGCATCTCGTTAATCAACTATGGGCCGAAGAATTATCAAAACCCTAGATTTAAGTAATCATAGATTTGAGTAACCCTAGATTGGAGCAGTGACGGCGACGGCGACGGCGGCCAACGACGATATCACTTCTGGTGGATGTCCTGCCCATCAATTGTTGCAATATCAATGATTTAGTGCTCGAATTCGGTATGCGATTATAACAGATATGCAATTATACAAACGTGATAGTCGATTTAGCCAAAACATATGAACAAATCGATGGACGATAGCGATGCAGCGACCGGCGAAGACGTACCTACGGCGGCTTGCTCGGAGTCCACGAAAATCGTCGTTTCACGGCAGTGCAGATTTCTTCCCCTTTCAATCGGCGGTACCAAGAAGTGGTTCTGGGAGGTTTTTGCAGTTTATTTGATAGTGGGTTTTGGGGTGATAGTGTGTTAACGGGAAAATAGGAAGGGATTTGATATTATTTCAAAAGGTAAAGTAACGGGATTTGTGGGATTTGATTGAGGGTAATTATGTAATTACGAAAAGCTTGGGCTTTTATCAAAATGGCAAATTTAAAATTGGGTCTACCCCTATTATTTGAATGTTTAAGGGGGTTATATCTAATAGACCCTAAAAATAAAGTAGACTAATACTTTTCCTGATAAATTATGATCACCACATCTGATACGGTCGAATTACGAAAAAATCTCACTTGTTTCAGTTGCAACCACCCCCATCAACTTTGAATCTTCGTACACGCTATGGTGTCAAATTCATCATAATCTTCTAGATTCCGCATAATTGTTCTCTAGTTTGACTTGTTCGGTGGCAAAATGCAATTTCTGATACACCACTATTTGATATTTACAAGCCAAAAGACGCATCTTATGAACATCTTGTTTCAAAATGTAGAGCTCGAATGAGATAAAGCAGGTAAAAATTGAATAATATTGCACATAATCTAGAAGATCCATGTAAATTAGACACATCAAAAGTGAACGTATAAGAAGATTCATAATTAAGAAAATTTGACACCTCACAAGTGAACATATAAGAAGATTCATAATTAAGAAAATTTGACACCTCACAAGTGAGAAGATTCATAATTAAGAAAATTTGACACCACACAAGTGAACGTATAAGAAGATTCATAATTAAGAAAATTTGACACCTCACAAGTGAACGTATAAGAAGATTCATAATTAAGAAAATTTGACACCTCACAAGTGAACGTATAAGAAGATTCATAATTAAGAGATGATTGTAATTATCCAAATATGAGAGTTTTCGTAATTCGACCTTACCTCGGGCAGCAGTAATTTACCCATACTTCTCCACCTAATTAAAAATGTATAACAAACCATAAAGAATCAACTGAAATTTTCCAAGCAGGGTGACAACAATATATGTTATGCATACTACCACGAATATAAAACTTTCTCGTTAAACAAACATAAGATAATGGTTCTCATCAAAAATAAAAACACAGGAAATATTATCACTCTCAAACTACATGATGGATGACCTATCGAAAAGGAGGAACAATAATGTCGATATAGAAAACAAAAGTCATTACATTCTCATCATCCATAAAAAATAAACAAAAGAACAAAAAAGAAAAAACGAGAACCGTACTATGGTTTTAACATAGACCCGACGGTACATCATTGTCACAATGTACCATCCCTTGACAACCCTCGCTCAAACTTCTGCACTTCAACCACATTGAATTTTGTTGAAAGAAAAAAAAAAAAAAAAAAAAAAAAAAGACACTGATTTAACGAAAAAAAGAAGCATCCACGAGAAAGCTTAACAAAACAGCACAGCACCTTAGAAGCATTTCCTGTGGACAATTGATGGGCCAGACTCATCGTATTCGCCCTTAGAAATCCACATCTGTTTTTCGAGGATTATAAAAACAAGAAAGTCGAATTAACAACCAATGTAAATTTCGATAGAATTAGATGAATGAAAGAATCAAGATATGAAAAATGAACCTGTTGGAAGGTGCTAAGTGAAGCAAGAATGGATCCTCCGATCCAGACACTGTATTTCCTCTCGGGCGGTGCAACCACCTTGATCTTCATGCTGCTAGGAGCCAAAGCAGTGATTTCCTTGCTCATACGGTCGGCAATGCCGCCAAACATGGTGGAGCCACCACTGAGGACAATGTTACCGTACAGATCCTTCCTGATATCAACGTCGCACTTCATGATTGAGTTGTAAGTGGTCTCGTGAATACCAGCAGATTCCATCCCAATGAATGAAGGCTGGAAAAGGACCTCCGGGCAACGGAATCTCTCTGCCCCAATGGTAATAACCTGCCCGTCGGGCAGCTCGTAGTTCTTCTCAACGGAAGAGCTGCTCTTGGCTGTCTCGAGCTCCTGCTCGTAGTCGAGTGCAATGTAGGCAAGCTTCTCCTTCATGTCACGGACAATTTCCCGCTCTGCTGAGGTGGTGAACATGTACCCTCTCTCGGTGAGAATCTTCATCAGATAGTCTGTCAGATCACGCCCAGCAAGGTCCAATCGGAGGATGGCATGTGGCAGAGAGTACCCCTCGTAAATTGGCACAGTGTGACTCACACCATCACCAGAATCCAGCACAATACCTATATTCAAACAAGATTTACAAACTATATAGCATACACTGTTCGAGCATATTATTTGTTGATTGCCACTAAACCCAATATAAAATTCTCACCTGTAGTACGACCACTGGCGTAAAGAGAGAGAACGGCCTGAATGGCAACATACATGGCGGGGCAATTGAATGTCTCGAACATTATTTGGGTCATCTTCTCCCTGTTAGCCTTTGGGTTGAGAGGGGCTTCGGTAAGAAGCACGGGGTGCTCCTCTGGGGCAACACGAAGCTCGTTGTAGAAAGTGTGATGCCAAATCTTCTCCATGTCATCCCAGTTGCTAACGATTCCGTGTTCAATTGGGTATTTCAATGTCAAGATACCTCTTTTGGACTGTGCTTCGTCACCCACATAGGCATCTTTCTGTCCCATACCAACCATCACACCGGTGTGGCGAGGCCTACCGACAATGCTGGGGAAAACTGCCCTCGGTGCATCATCGCCCGCAAATCCAGCCTGCGCGTAAAACAAGAAATGTTTATGTTGAATAAATAATAAAACATTTTGTGAATTAATTAAAAAAGAAAAAAAGGAATTCAAAAGCATATGAATAGATACCAACCTTCACCATTCCGGTTCCATTATCACAGACGAGGGGCTGGATATCCTCAACATCAGCCATTTTTTATCAACTGTAAAAATAAAATATATTATATATCAATACAGGGCAGTAGTCAATCTGTTGTACAATCAGATCAGATGAACGATAACAAATAGGAAAAAATTAACATTCAATCTTCAAATGAATAATGGATTTCATTGAAGAAGGAATCACATAGTACATTCTGTGGGTAATTTAATCGATATTCAGACGATAATCTATTCGAATCTCGGTTTATTCTCAAAGATGTGTATTAATTTCGATTAGGATCCTAATTGACTTATTTCATTCAAAATAAATATAGAAAACAAATCAACAAACTAAACACAAACTAAATTGATCCAAACAAAATACCCAAGAAAACAAAAAAAAAAAAAAAAAAATATTTTCTAACATTAGATCCCACCATATCCACATAAATCAAGCATCTTTTCCCACATCTGCCTATAGATATGGAAAATATACATTGAGCCCATAATGAAAACACAATCAAATCTGCAATCGAAGAACACAAAACGCAAATCCAATAGACAAAAATCGATCTCATCATATTCATTCGACAAACTACATCCACACAACAGATCAAGCCCAGATCTCATCGTCACGCATCACAAAAATCAAAATCAAGCTGTGAAATCACTCGATCCTAAACTCAAATTGAATTAAACAAAAAAAAAATATTCAACCAAACAAACCGATTCAAAAAGCAAAGAAGAGTAATTAATTACCTGAATCGAAGAGAAAGCTGGTGGCGAAGAGAGAGAGAGAGAGAGAGAGAGTGAGAGAGAGAAGATCTGTATTCAGCGAAAACCAACCTCAGGTTGGCTTGCTGATTTACTTATTTTTTTAATTATTTTTTTTTCGCCTCAGTGTAATGATAATTTGCCGGATTGGTGTGAACGCAAATGAATGAGAGGAATCAAATGAGGTAGGAATGAAAGTGAGATGGAAATGTGTATTTTTATAGACACTCTGGAAAGGACATGTTTGCATTTTCTTTTTTACTTTTTTTTTTTAATTTTAAATTTTAAATTTTAAATTTTTAATATTTATTATTTTAATTTAAAGTGAATAAATATTATTTAATTTAGGGTGGCGATGTTGCCAGAGCATATCTCCTAATGCCAGATCAAATATTTGACGAAAAAGAAATAAAAAAAATTTGTGGCCTTTTACCAAACAAGTGGCGAGAAATTCTCTCTCTATACATAAAAAGGTTTTATTTGCCTTCCTATTCCGTCTCCCATTCCCCGGTTAAGCACCCCCTCTCCGACTAATTATTATTATTATTATTATTATTATTATTATTATTATTATTATTATTATTATTATTTAATTTTTAATTTCCTAGCCATCGTGTTTGACATTTCTTTTAATTTTTTATTTGTAATTAAACGTGACAGTTTATGAAGAAATAAGATCCAATTGAATTAAATACATTTGGTCCTCGTTTCATTGTCTATGAGATTTTGATTGTGTAACATAACCAATATAAACTACTTTTCTTAAACTGTGGAATTGTGTGATAGATTTGAAAATTATTGAAATAACCGAACATCAAATAAATAATTTATATATAAAAGAAAGAAACGTTATGGCAGCCTAAAAAATGTTAATGGTATATTTGTAATTATATTTTTAAGTATTAATCTTCAATTTTTCAGCCATTTATCTCAAATTTTAAGACATCAAGATAGAAGGTTTTGTTTTGTTAAATGTTAACCTATTTTATTTGGATAATCAATCTTATTATGTAAGATTTAAAAAATGGATGGTCTAGCGGTTGGAGCAAGTCAGCTGGTGTTCATTGACTCAGATTCAAATCATTTTGCCTAGTGTGGTTTACTCCTTTTGTATGATTTGCAAGTTATTATACGTGAATGTAGGTTTACACAATGCACATTTATAGTTGGATGCATGTTCCTTCATTAAACAAAACAAAAAAACAAAAAAAAGAAAAAAACTAAAAACTAATGTTATATGAAATATGAATAAGTATTACATGGAATTTCTTTTTGTAACACATCACCCTGTTTATCTCGAAAATAGATCTTACTACGTAATAATAAAAAAGATATTGTAATACATATCCACATAATAACTTGTGGACTAAGTAAAGAGTACGTGTCAAGACATCTTTATTCTAGCATGACAATGCTTATGTGAATCTCATGTATAAATAGAAGCATTGGCCATAGGAATTGTACAGCTTTCATTAGTTAAGCAAATAAAATTTCTCTCCCTCGTTTACCGTTCATCTTCATAGTTCATATATTTCTTTAGTTTGTCTTGTACTAATATATAATAGTTGGTTTATTCTATAACACGTTATCAGCACGAGATTTTGCTCGATAGGGATTTGTTATTTTCGTATCTTTCTTTCTATTTTATTTTACAAAAATTCAGATGCTCGATCTAATGTCGAAAAGACAAACGAGAATGATTAGCGAATACTTCAGTATTTTATACGCTATCATTTCTCAAAGGATATGATGGATTCTCGTATATTAATCTATTGCTTATTTATTTGTTGAATTGCTGCTGAAATTTATATTTGCAAGCTTGTGGATCCCAAGCAGTGTTATAAGCACGTGCTAGTTTTAACAGATCTGTGGGCCGACTTAGAGGCCAAGATATTAACTCCGAGCATGATGCTCGTCGAGTAAAAGATATAATAATCTCAGTTGAAAGTCGATTTAGACTATGAGATTAACTCCGAGCACAAGCTCGTGGAGTCGGGGAAGTAATAATCTCCCTTCAAAAGCCGATTTAAAGGCCAAATATCTGAAAATATCTCCGAGCATGAAGCTCGTTGAGTCAAGACGTGATAATATCCGTCAAAAGTCGATTTAAAGGCCAAATATCTGAATATATCTCCGAGCCTGAAGCTCGTTGAGTCAAGGCGTGATAATATCCGTCAAAAGCCGATTTAAAAGCCAACTATCTGAAAATATCTCGGAGCCTGAAGCTCGTTGAATCAAGACGTGATAATATCCGTCAAATGTCGATTTAAAGGCCAAATATCTGAAAATATCTTCGAGCCTGAAGCTCGTTGAGTCAAGACGTGATAATATCCGTCAAACGCCGATTTAAAGGCCAAATATCTGAAAACAACTCCGAGCCTGAAGCTCGTAGAATCATTAGACGAGGTAAAACCCGTCAAGAGCCAACTTAGAGGCTATTGATCACAAGTCCAAATTTAAAGGGTTTTGGGTTATTTTGTACCCACTGTATATAAATCTCTATTGGAAGGTGTGATTCCCAAGATTGAGTTGTTTTGAATAAACCCACATGTACATATCTCCCTTGGAGGATAAATACCCGAGGTCGAGCTTATTTTGATACACGTACATGAAAAACATGGACAAATATGACTATTGCCTACTCGACAGTGCAACTACACACTCAATATTCAATAATAAAATATATTTCTCGAGTGTGACTTTGTGCAAGGCACAAGTTAAAACCATAGCAGGTTCCGCGGAAATAATAGATGGCTCCGGGAACGCAACAATTGTGTTGCCTAATGGTACCACTTTGCATATTGAAAATGCATTGATATCCGGTAGATCAAATAAGAATCTACTGAGTTTTAAAGATGTGAGACGCAATGGGTATCATTTAGAGACACTGGTTGAAAATACCGTGGAGTGTCTATGCGTCACATCATATGTCATGGACAAAAGAATTGTTCATGAGAAGTTCGAAGCGACAGCTTCTGGACTGTATTGTGTCCAAATTCGAGCTTTCGAATCCTACGCCACTATGCCATGGAAACTTGTTAATCCCGATATACACGGGTTATGGCATGATCGACTGGGTCACCCATGAACGACTATGATGCGTAGGATTGCACTGCATGCATACTAAAGGACATCCATTAAAAGATACAAAAATCTTGATGTCCAACGAATATCTCTGTGAATCATGTTCACAAGGAAAGCTCATTATAAAACCTTCCATTGAAAAGGTCGGTTATGAATCACCATCGTTTTTACAACGTATTCATGGTGATATTTGTGGACCAATACACCCTGCAAGCTAGTGGGCCATTTAGATATTTTATGGTTCTGGTGGACGCATCTTGTAGATGGTCCCACGTATGCTTATTATCTACACGAAATATTGCATTTGCGCGTTTGCTAGCACAAATTATTAAACTCCGAGCACATTTCTCTGATTATCCCATAAAAAATATAAGGATGGATAATGCCGGAGAATTTACATCAAAAACTTTTGATGAGTATTGTGCAACACTGGGAATAAATGTCGAGCACCTAGTAGCATACGTTCACACTCAAAATGGACTGGCGGAATCTCTGATTAAACGCGTCCAAATAATTGCTCGCACTTTGCTGATGAGATCTAAACTCACTAGTGCAGTATGGGGCCATGCAGTATTGCATGCATCAGCACTGATTAAATTACGCTCCACTGTTTATCATATGCATTCCCTAATGCAATTGGCATTAGGCTTTTAGCCCGATATTTCGCACCTTCGCACATTTGGTTGCGCTGTGCAAGTGCCAATTCCTCCTCCTCAGAGGACTAAAATGGGTCCCCAACGCCGACTTGGCATATACGTTGGGTTTGATTCACCGTCGATTATTAGGTTCTTGGAACCAATGACGGGTGATTTATTTACCGCTAGATTTGCGGATTGTGATTTTGATGAGACATTATTTATACCGATTGGTAAGGATATTCAGAATATCCGTGATAATGATAAACAAAAACCAATCGAGAATCTCACATGGTGTGAGCAACATTTATCTCATCTCGACCCACCTACCTCTGAATGTGAAAATGAGATCCATAGAATCATTCATTTACAAAATATTGCCAATAGACTTCCTGATGCATTTAATGATGCCTGTAATGTTACGAAGTCTTATATTCCAGCTGTGAATGTTCCAGCTAGGATCGCTGTTCTTGAAGAACATGCGAAAATGAATGATGATCCCCCACGACAAAAACGGGGTAGACCAATTGGATCAAAGGACGTTGTTCCTAGAAAAAGAAAGGGGAAAATTGATGAACCCTCGAACCAAGTGGTTCCTAGTGAGAATGCTCCAGATGAATCTGTTGAGCCTGATATCGAAAAAGCGATATCAAATCCCGGGAATACCGAGAATCCCATAAGTTATTGCAATGAAATATGGGATAGAAATGAGATAATCATCGATAATATTTTTGCATTCTCGGTTGCACAAGAAATTATGTACGATGATTATGATAGTGAACCGCGTTTCCATAATGGAATGCCACCAAAGAATTGGCCTAAGTGGGAGGAAGCAATAAAATCTGAATTGGCTTCCCTAGAAAAACGGAAAGTATTCGGGCAAATCGTTCAAACTCCGGATAATGTAAAGCCCGTTGGGTATAAATGGGTATTTGTCCGTAAGAGGAACGAGAACAATGAAATTGTAAGATATAAAGCCCGCCTTGTAGCTCAAGGTTTCTCCCAGCGGCCTGGGATTTATTATGATGAGACGTATTTACCAGTTATGGATACGATCACTTTCCGTTTTCTTATCAATATGGTCGTCCAAGAGGGACAGGACTTGCGTCTAATGGACGTTGTAACGGCCTATCTATATGGTTCACTAGATTCTGATATTTATATGAAATTCCCGATGGATTTAAAATGCCAAACTCTGGCGCTCATCGTGAGCTGCACTCAATCAAATTACAGAGATCATTTTATGGTCTAAAGCAGTCCGGTCGCATGTGGTATCATAGATTGAGTGAATACCTTATCAGGGTAGGTTATAAAAATGATCCTATTTTCCCATGCGTTTTTATTAAACGATCAGAAACCGGATTTGCTATCATTGCGGTTTATGTAGATGACATGAACCTCATTGGCACTCCTAAAGAGTTGGCCAATGCTGCTGAATATCTAAAGAAAGAGTTTGAGGTCAAGGACCTTGGAAAAACCAAACTCTGTCTTGGTATTGAGCTTGAGCATAAAAATAACGGCATACTTATACACCAATCTGCATATACTAAATGGGTGTTCAGAAAGTTTAATATGGAAAATTCTAATTCATTGAGCACCCCTATGGTTGTGCGCAATTTAGATCCTGAAAAAGGATCCGTTCTGACCTAAAGGATTTAATGAAGAGATACTTGGCCCTCAAGTGCCATATCTCAATGTTATCGGAGCGTTAATGTATCTAGCACAATGCACTCGACCTGATATCGCTTTTGCGGTAAATGTGCTTGCGCGATACAGTTCTGAGCCTACGCGGAGACACTAGAATGGTGTTAAACATATTTTTAGATATCTCCGTGGTACTGCAGATTTGGGATTATTTTATTCAAAGAATGCAACTGACCAAGGGTTAGTTGGTTATGCCGATGCGGGATATAGATCTGATCCCCATAAAGCTCGCTCACAAACTGGATATTTGTTTTTTTATAATGGTGCAGGTATATCTTGGCGATCTACCAAACAGACATTGGTGGCCACCTCCTAAAATCATTCAGAAATAATAGCCCTTTATGAGACAGAGAGAGAATGTGTTTGGCTACGAACCGTTATTTCCCATATATGAAATTCCTGCCAATTACATCTAGTTACAGACACGCCCACAGTCATTTACGAAGACAATGCTGCTTGTATAGCGCAAACAAGGGGCGGATACATAAAAGGTGATAGGACCAAACATATATCACCAAAGTTCTTCCACACACATGAGCTTCAGAAGAATGGAGAGATCGATGTTCGACAAGTTCGCTCATGCGACAATCTTGCTGATTTATTTACAAAGTCCTTACCGACTTCTACTTTTGAGAAGTTGGTATACGCCATTGGAATGAGAAGAGCCAATATGAAGCAAGATTGACGGCCCATTTCGAGGGGCCTATATATACTGCTCATTTCAAGGGGAGCAATGGTGCGCTGCACTCTTTTTCCCTTATGACTGGTTTTGGTCCCATTGGGTTTTCCAGCAAATGTTTTTAACGAGGCAGCTTATGCACACGGCTTGGATTGAGTTATGCACTCTTTTTCCCTTATGTTCGGTTTTGTCCCACTGGGTTTTCCGACTTGAGGTTTTTAACGAGGCATACATCTATATTTTACTCATCCAATTTAAAGCCACTACGAAAGATACTTAGTCCAAGGGGGAGAGGAGTATTGTAATGCATATCCACATAATAACTTGTGGACTAAGTAAAGAGTACGTGTCAAGACATCTTTATTCTAGCATGACAATGCTTATGTGAATCTCATGTATAAATAGAAGCATTGGCCATAGGAATTGTACATCTTTCATTTGTTAAGCAAATAAAATTTCTCTCCCTCGTTTACCGTTCATCTTCATAGTTCATATATTTCTTTAGTTTGTCTTGTACTAATATATAATAGTTGGTTTATTCTATAACAAAAGAATAATTTTATAAAGTCGGAATATTACTACATGAAATATATTTATTTGTAAGATAAAAGGGTATTATATATTTATTTGTAAGATAAAAGGTTATTTGTTAAATTTGTTTGAAATTAAAATATGAATATATGAAACATAACTATAGTTGACATCTTTGTATTTTCTAATTTTTTTTTTTTTGCTTTATTAAAGATCAATCTCATATTACGATAATTAAGTGTATATAATCTTTTGTTGAATGCATTTGTATTATCAGATTTATATGAATATTGATGTTGTTACTATTTAAATATCACTAATAAATTGTATTGTAATATATTTCTCATTATAATCATTATTGTCATGTATTAAATTAATTTTTTTTTTTTGAAATATTATCTCATACATTGCGCGCAGGGGCGTACCCATGCCTATAGCTGGGGTGTACCTTCGTATTCTTTGGAATACTTCCGACGTTGCTAGTAACACTGGACAACTCGTCGGATTAAGTCAAAAAAATTAATTTTAACGATAAAATAAGTAACATCATAAGTCGAAAATATACCTACAACCATAGTGCACCTTTAACTCATCGCGTAATACTTAACCCGTTTTTCGTATTATGGGACTCATAAAACGCAGTTGTAACTCGATCATTGCCCTTCTTGACATATTTAAACAAATATTTTATTGATTTGTTCTGGTATTAAAGCTTGATATTGATGTAAGCTATGTATTTCAACAGTAGAGCACGATTGTACGGAACGACGAACCCATTGTCCAATATTATTTTTTCTTCATTACTGTCTGGCCGTCATCCCTTCTTCTATACGAATGGAATCCCTCGTGGTCTTGGTACCTTGCACAAATCTCTTTGGAAAGCACTTGGTGCACATCGTTCTTCACGCGGGGAGAATTCATGTCTGTATACCCACATGGTCCGTGTATCATGTATTGTTTTACCATAACTTAAACATTTTCATGTTTGAAGTCTTATTAGGTATTTGATACGCGTTTTCCTTACGTATAAATTAGCGGAAGTGTACAATATCGTATTTTGTAGAATAGTGGTTCCAGACATCGATCCACAGGGACCTATAGATTCACATGCTAAGTAATGTAATTATATTATCTAGCCGATCGTAAATGGTTGGTTTACAAATAGGACATGTCCATCTCATTAATAGCACTCTTTACTTACACGCCTGACTTCCACTTTTCCACCGACCTCCAAAGCAGCAATAGGACCAGATAGTTCTTCCACATGTAAAACCAAAAGCATATTCTCTTCTTTGTGCACGGAGAATGATATAACCTAATAAACATATAAACATGTTTATTAGGTAAGCAAATAACACAATGAAATAAATAAATAAAATTGTTACCTTATCTGGTGTGAGTTCACTAAAAACATGTTCAGCTTGACGTTCATTAGCTGGTATTTTGGAGTCGGACCATTGAAAAAATCTAGGGTATTCGAAAACGCTAATTGCATACCCCAGGGAAGTGATCCTTTCACTCGCCCGTGCCAACAATTCAATGGTGCAACCATCAAAATACCCTCTTGCTCTAGCCAAGTGTTCCTCAATATTTTCAATGAGCACATCATATACCAATTTTCCCCATGCAAAATCTCCTACTCGTTCCAATTTGTCAACGTGTGGATAAACATACCTTGGCAGTTGAAAGTTACCCTTTGGCAATAAGAAAGTATTGCAAGCAAAAATACTGGACAACCTACTAAAATCCTCAATGGATTGTTGGTCGGTCTTAATAGCATACTCCATTTTTTCAGCAATTTGATGACACTTCACTTGGGTCATTTTACGGCCAAAAACACGTCTAATGAAAAGGAGTTTCTATTTCCAGGCTTTTATCGATGGGTACCCCTTTAAACTGTAATCTCATCATAATGCAGAACTCCCTAGCGTCAAATACGACGGGATATTTTTACCTCCAAACCAGAATGTACGTTCATCCACGTTGTATGTCTTCTTCAATAGAACATACACCTTTAAGAAACTATGGTATATCTTAGGCATGTTAAAGAAATGCCCGAAAGGATTTTCCTCCAAGGCAGCAAAATGTCTGGCCGTCATCATTGGTTTAATTATGTCCATTTGTTCTTTGAATGCGCTAGGAGAGCACCTGCAAGCTTGTTGCGCGTCATCCTCTGCAAGTGTATTACGATTATAAAGAAAAAATAACAATCAGCAAAATACAATTGTAAAATAATAATGATACTATATAGTTATTGTAATTATACATTCAGTTTTCTGTATCAATACCATACACCCGCGCTACCTATAATACCATTATGCAATACTATATATCTCATTTACTTACATAAGAAGAAATTCCATTACCTTGTTTTAATACCTTCTAACAACAATAGCACTACCATTGTGTAGTAAGACTTATATTATTTAAACACATCTAATGTACAAAATCAAACCCTTGGTAGGACCAAAAATGATTTGAGAAATACTAATGTCAGACGAATGATACCCAAGAGTGAAAATGTTCAAAATCATGCAATTCAACAGCAAATGAGCAACTTTTGCAAACATAAAGAAGAAAACAACATTTATTAGAACGAGTTGTTCGATTTGTTTATTTGAGAAAAGCCCAATCTCACAGCTGGATACTACCCAGTATTGGAAATGTTCAAAATCATTCAATATGAGAACATGCAGTTTGTTTTTTGCTAAACTAAGCAACAAAAAAAACCTTGTGTCTCCTTCCCCTTCTTTGCCCACACTATTCTTCTACTCTGAAAATTATTACTTTACTTTCCTTTGTTGTCTTAATACTTTCCGCCTCGTTGTAGGTATTTATACAAGCAAAAAAAATAAATAAATTGATAAATCTTGAAGAATTGCTTAGGAAAAACTGCTTAGAAAATGGTTTGAAAATTGGATGGCAGTGGATAATTAAAAAGGCGTGGAGCGTAGAGCGTGTCTCTTTACCGGCACGTGAAAAGTGTGTAGAAAGGTGTGTCAAAATTAGCTGGTAATTTTAAAATAAAATGAAGGGTTTTTCGGACATTGTAAGTGTATATTTATGTTTGCTATGCATATTTATATTTACTTTAGGACTAACACTCATAAAATTTTGCTGGGGATTGACTCGTATTTTTTTTTTGGCTTTAGGATTTATCAGTATATGTACCTTGAACCTATTTATGAAAATTTATTATCAGAAATTAAAAGAGGCCGTAGAAAATAAGAGGGTTTTAGGAAAAGAGAGAATTCTTTTAGACGCACTCGTGTTCACCGGAATCGGACTTTTCTGATAATCGGTCCACAGCAAAGAGTGAACACAGGTTCCCCACGGCGGCGGCGGCGCGTGCGGGAAAGAAAATGGTGGTGAAGAAAGGGAACAGAGGCGGAATGGGAGGGGAAGATGCAGAGGAGGAATTGAAGCGTGACCCCCTACAGGCCATCCTGTTGGCCGATAGCTTTGCCACTCTCTTTCGTCCAATTACCTTGGAACGCCCTAAAGTATGTATACTTAATATCTGTGGTTACCCGTAATTATTTTCATTTTTATTTTTATTTTTATTTTTGTTAATCATGTCTTCCTTTTGTTTAATCTGATAATTAGTTTATAAAATTGCTATTACGATTCACTAAGGTACTAAGTATAAATGAATGTGGTGTGATTTCCTTCATTTGTCGACTGGGCGAGCTTAACACGCTGCATCCGATGGCGTGCATAACCGCGTAAATATATGCCCTTATTCGACACACACCGGCATTATTACATGTATTTTTATGTGTGGATGAGTGAAAAATAGTATGCACAGTGTACTTAATCCGGTGTAGCATCTTATAAATCTATTGTTAATTTTCATAATCAATTGAAGCATAATACACCTTAGAACATTGCGGATTATGCACAAAATCTACATGTCGCTGCATTGTAGAGTTTGAAGTTTCGTGTACCCATATCTATTCGCTAATGATCTTTTAATACACATTCTTATCACCTGTTGGTTGCAAAAGCTTGGTTATATGCTTGACATTTGTTTTTGCGATGTGATTTGAACAGGGAGGTTAATGTTCCTTTCAATTCGTTTGCTCGTTTCCTCTGTTGATTTTTGTTTTGCTTTGTTTCTGTAAGGTACTCTTACCGATAGTTAATGCGCCTATGATTGACTATACCTTAGCATGGCTTGAATCTGCCGGAGTTGAAGAAGTTTTTGTGTTTTGCTGTGCTCATTCCAAGCAAGTGATTAACTATTTGCAAAACTCCGATTGGTTTGATCAGCCGAACTTTTCTGTGACTACAATAGAATCATACAATTCAACAAGTGCTGGAGATGCTCTGCGATTGATATATGAAAAGAATGTGGTACGTTGTTCTCTTTTCCAACTTATATTTCTAACTTGTTGACCCTTAAAATTTCTAAATCATTGTTATTAACATTGTCTATACATTCTTACTTTCTTGTTGATAGCAAATCCTATGAATGGGTAATTTTTTTTGACTTTCTTAAAAAGGTAATAGGCAACATTGATTTTCAGAAGAGGCTATAAAACCATGACGACCTTTTAGTTTGACTTCAGTAATTGACTCTAATATGTGAATCATTGTGTTGAAAAAAAAGTAGATTTCTAGACAATGTAAGTTTATGTGCAAGGTGACTGCCAAATCTTGATTTTGATGAAGATAAGAGTCGTGTAATAGCAGTAAAGAATTCTACCGAAGATGTTCCCTAGGTTGATATTGTCCTATTACCAGTTGTAAATGAGTCTAGACGAGTAGGGATCTACAAAGGTAACCTGCCCATATTTCAAACATCTCAGTAGAGGAGACTGAAATTACAATATTGAGGTAGTTTCCTTTTTCCACCCCCCTTTTCAATTTTTTTATCGGTGAGAGAGAAGCTATTGTTACTGTAACAGTGTATTTCCAATATCTGGAAATTGAAAGGAAATATTGAGATTGCTTTATCTTCCTTTCCTATTGGTTTCTTAAGTCTTATTAGGGTAGGAGCAAATTTGAACAAAGATGTGGTACTCTGGTAGAAGTAACTAACTACGAAGGATAACATTGTATGCCCGTATTAGATAAGATTTGGAAGGAATAACAAGATTGCATTTTCTTCCTCTAGTCTTTAAAGGGATTAGGTTAGACGTTTTCTTATTAGCCTATCTATTATGTCAAATATTGTTCTCCACAGAACTTAAATTTATTTGATGTTTTTAAGTTGGACTAGCTAAAGATTACTGTGTTTGTTTTTCTTTGAAGATAAATGGAGATTTCATCCTTGTTACTGGAGATACAGTGAGCAACATGTCACTTACACAGGCACTTAAAGAACACAAGGAGAGGAGAAGAAAAGACAGCAATGCAGTTATGACCATGGTCATTAAACAGTCAAAGCCATCTTCTAAAACTCATCAAACTCGTCTTGGAACAGAGGAGCTGTTTATAGCAATTGATCCAGATACAAAGCAGCTCCTGCATTACGAGGATAAGGCTGATACGTTGAAAGGGACAGTCTCTCTGGACAAGGGATTGTTGATTGAAAATTCATTTGTATCACTCCACAATGATAAGCAGGTTCTAATCATTGTTTAAGCCTTTCTTTTTTTTGCTGATCTTAACCATACAACCATACATCACTTAACCACTTAATCCTCCCCACCAAAAAGCAGAAAGAAAGAAACAAAAAGATGTCTCTTGTCCGGTATATTAGAAAGAAAAGCTTTCTGCTTCTATATCTATTCTTGGAGCTGTAGCTGATGTATTCTAGAACTCTGATTTACATCTCGAGAAAATTCAATCAATTTTGGGAAATATTTAAATCCTTATTTATGAATCTTATTATCTAATAGAATATGGATAAAAGAAGAAGTAAAACACAAGTAAAAATTAATCCATCATACCCTTTAATACTAGATGGGAGTATTTATATTAAGCGTTTTTAAATTAAATGTGCTGCCACGACTTATTCTATGAGCTATTAGTGGTACTGAGGTTCTCGTTTTATCAACGTAAGATCTGTACTTTGTGGCTGTTGGGATAAGTTGGATGTTCATGCAATTTTCAGTGTATTGGATCTGGTAGATTGTTCTTCAAAGAGTGTAGTCAAAGCCGATGTTTAGGTTAACTTGTTTAAACTTTTGATATATGCATTTAACCTTGTTGCTTGTGATTCTGTATAGTTCTAATCATCACATTCACTTGTTATATTTTGTGTAGTAGTCTTTCCAGAATATTCTTAAACTGAACCCTTTTGCTGTTGTCTATGTTCTTTGCAGGATTGCTACATTGACATATGCTCCCCAGAGGTTTTAAGTCTTTTTACAGACAATTTTGACTACCAGCATTTACGTCGTCACTTTGTCAAGGGGTTACTTGTTGATGATGTGAGTATTAGTATATTAGGATATCTTTTATGTCATTAGGAGATTCTGTTTCACTCACTCAACTTATTATACCCTTCAAACGTCACGATGAAGTAATTCCACCTCATTATGATGCAATGTTTAATTTTCATGGTACTTTTAACATACTTATATTTAGATTTCTATGCCTTTTGAAGCATATATTCACATTTTGTGTGTGGAAGATCTTAGACTATGATCTTCTAGATTGGTTCAGCAGGTGTTTGTTAAAGCATATATTCACTATCTTGAATATCATTGCTATCGGCTATTTGTTAAAAACGTGATATAAACAAGAAAATATAGAATACAAACAAGAAAAATATAAATTAGTTAAAAACGCCTATTTGTTCATGTGTTGGTCAGTGGTTAGTAGGTTTACATAATTGTCGTGTTTAGTTTTGTTATTGATTTGCTTGTCATTTTGGTTTTGTCATTGTTGGCTATCTTGTACTTTTTTGGTCACATAGTAGCGATAGGTGCTCTCAAGTTGTTCAAGCAAGTGTTTGATCTGCTGTTTGTCGGCATGATTCTGGTTGTGGTTGCAATTGCGGTTGTCGTGGATTGCTGTAGTTGTCGCCATGGTTTTCATAGGTGTTGTTCAAACATTAAGGCAGATTATAGCCACTACAGTATACAGTGTTGGTCAGTTGTTTAACCAGGTGTTGTATCAGTGGATCTCGTTGGTTCGGTAGTTTAGCTGTTGGGTTGTCTGTAATTGTTTTCTGTTTGTCAATGTTTCTGCAACTTAATTTCATATCTGTTGATGACGTTCATTTTTAAGTTGGTTGCGTTGGCGTATACCTCATGATTGTTTTAGGAGTCATTGTCTTCCCTTCATTGGCTTTGTACGTATATCTATATATATATATATATATGGTATAGTTTGAGGTGGAGTGAGAGAGTTGGGGGTATTAGGCAAATTTCTTGTCTGTTTACTGTGTAAATCTCCCATAAGGTTGAGTGTCGAGTAATAACCCTTCTGCCAAATTAGTTGGTAACCACTTTCAAGAGATAATGTGATTTTTCCTCTAGTGGGCTTTTGTGCCTTACATCTAATCATCATTTTCTTTGCACAGATTATGGGTTACAAGATTTTCACCCATGAAATTCATTCAAGTTATGCGGCTAGGATTGATAATTATCGGAGCTACGACACCATCAGTAAAGACATAATACAGAGGTGGACTTATCCTTTGGTTCCTGATGTTCAGTTCTTTGGGAATTCTGTGGCAAAGCCTGAAAGACAGGGAACATATCGTGCATCAGGTGAAAAACTGAATTATGTAGAGTACGCCTTATGCTTGAATTGAGATTTATATGGATCGGTTTCTACATGGATTTCTGCATGATTTATACGACTAAGATGGGAGTTTTGGAAGGATATATATAGATATATATTTTCTGGAAAATAACACCACTTAAACACTAAAGAACTCCCCTGGATTTATTTACCATGCAATTTCAGTAAGTTTTACTTCTATATGTTAGATGGAATAATAAAATTTGTGTTGGATGGCTCTTTGCGATAAAAGAATTTCAAACTTGCTGACTCTTTTCTTGTAGCTAAAACCAGACGTGGATGCAAATTTAGATAGAATCTGACCATACCTCTTGCATGAGAACTCACTGAAACATCTGACTATAAAAATTTTGTTTTTACAATCTTGTGAAAATGATGAAAGCATTGGAAACTTGTCAATCATGAGAATAAATCTATCAAAAACATTTTACTAGCTTCCATATTATTATGTTCTTCTTTTGCAGTAGATGGCAAGAGACATGCTCTTTTTCTAATTAAAAGTTTTGATCAAACTTTCTTCTTTTAAAGATTGGCCTTAATTAGTATACCCCTTGTTCCTTTGTTTCTTTTACGAATAATCATCACTTCCATGATTTGATATTTGGACTTCCATGCTAGATAAACACCAAGATGTTTTGTATAGTATTATGTAGCTGTATGTGGATTGTGTAGGCTTATTGTGACTTCCACATCTTGTAGAGAGTAACTTCTACAAACCTCTCATGATTCTCTCACTTAATTTTTTACCTTATTGGTAATGTTTTTAACTTATTTACAGACGTAGGACTATCACGTTTTGCAAAAATCGGCCCTTTTACTGTAATTGGAAGTGGTACCACAGTCGGAAGTTACACCGAAGTATCAAATTCCGTCATTGGAGAAGGTTGTATAATTGGATCAAATGTTTCAATTGATGGGTGCTATATTTGGGATAACGTTACCATTGAGGATGGCTGTAAATTAAAGCATGCAATAGTATGTGACGGGGTGATAATCAAGTCCGAAGCAGTTCTTGAAGCTGGTGTTGTTTTGTCTTTCAAGGTATTTCTTTTCCAATCGCTTAACCATTCATATGTTGCAGTCCGTGGCAACCAGGTTTATTATTTCATTTTTTGTGTTCTCTCTTGCATGGAAAGTCAATCTGCGCTAATCAGTATATGAGACACTAGCAGATAATTCTATTTATAAAATTTTAGTTTTACAAGACCTTTTAATTGACATCGAAGAAAATTTTATCATGCTGTCTCACTTCCCTATTGAACTCAATATGACCAGAATTTACTAGTCCTTTATCTCATGAACTCATATTGAACACTTTGAGTCAGAATTACAAGAATTTTGCTTGTTAACATGCTAGTACAAGAGGGTTCTTTTAAGGTTATTAAATGTAGATGCCATGTAGCAATTAAAATAACTAAGCTTGAGGACATTTTAGGCTGTTGTCATGACTCATGAGGTGTTTGGTCGTATGTTTTTGTCACTTAATGGATGAGTTTGATAAAACTGGGGGCAATTTGATTCTGCTGAAGCCTATTTTGATTACAAAACGCATAATAATGTTTAGCAATATGGCTGATGTTGTCTAGTATGTAATCATGGCATATGATTTCTTTTTTTGACTCAAATTCGTATTATCTCATTCCCTGAAAATGTGCAGGTCGTAATTGGACAAGGGTTTGTTGTACCTGCTTACTCAAAGGTTTCTCTACTTCAACAGCCTGTCAAACAAGACAGTGATGAAGAGCTGGAATATGCTGATAACAACAGTGGACCCATAGAAACTACATGTAACTTCTGAAACTTCTTAAAATATCTTATGCCTTTCCACTCATATTGAATTTAACTTTGTTAGCCATCACTATGAAATTCAGTTATGATATATTAACTCAGTTGCGAGGTCGCAATACTCGGTTAAATAACTTAATTTTCTAATCATATTAATGTAATTTCAGATCTTTCTTCTTCTTGGATCTATTTATGTTGAATAAATCTACGTCCTCCCGTTATAGAGAAGGAAAAATTGTGGCGACTTGATGCACTTATTAATTGAACCGGTGGACGTGCAAGTTTAGTTTAGCATCAAATATAAATACATTTCCTAGAAGGAGAATTGGTTATTATTACCTAGCTTATTATCTGAATTATTATCAAACTTTCTCTACCTATCAATCTAAATTTGGCAATAATTGAAAAGGCATTTGTGCTTTAGTTTTCAGAAAGAATATATAATACATTCAAAATGATTTGAGAGATTAGAGAAGAAACTGTGCCGCCTTGGGGATGAAATTGCAAATCAAACTGATTAAGTCACTGGCTTATCAGTGGAGTTGTGATATGATTTGTGTTAAAAACCAAGTTGCAATACACATCAAAGCCTTGTCTCCATTTATTAGTGCGTTATAAAAACTGTTTATTATTTTTTTATTTTTGTGTGTGTGTGTGTGTCTCTATATATATATATATATTTATCATGAATTAACATATTTATTTATTATATTAGAGACTCTGATAGCATGCACAAACGTGTTTGTGTTCCATACATGTATCATGTTGTTTGCGAATATGTTTAAATTTTAGGCCTTGAGATATGTCTCTATCCTATTGCATTATTCAAGCAGCAATATTTTGAACTACACACTAGTATTCTCTGAAGATTGCTGAATAAGAGCTAAATTAGTATTCTTTCATTTTTTTCCATTCTATCTACTGGTTATGTTTTTAGGGTGTTCTTAGTTCAAATTTTCTGTTTCCGTTTTGCTATTTGTAGATGTTTCAGTAAGATTCCCCATTAGTACAAATACTGGCAAAGTTGAATCGTATTTTTGAAAGAAAAAGGTTTTCAAAAAGAAAAATGGTTTAACCAAAATGATTTTTTTAACCTATTTTTTTTTCCGGCTTTAAAGCATATTTGGTAAGATAAGGTGCATAAAAAAGAATCCTATTTGTGCGTTCAGAGTACTGTAAAAGTTTTATTCATATAATTTCTTACTGTGTTATTTGATATGCAGCAATTTCTAATACACCTGAGTATTTTGAGGACGAGTTGAAGACCGAGTTATCTGATTCGCAAATGCAAGCTGTATCCGAGGTCCATTTATGCTTCCTCAGTTATTTTCTTCTTTCATTACCCGCTAAAACAATATCAGCAGCTGAAGTTGGTCTTTAGTTTAATTTTTTCAAGGCCATTTTTGTCCTTCTCCTTAGGAATATGATATTGGAATGCTCTAGCGATTATAATTTTTGTTTTTCTAATCAGCAAAAGCTAGTTTACACTTTACATAATTAAATAAAAGTGAAAAACATGTATCAGTATTAGATATCCAAAAACATTGGTAGTTCAAGGATAAAATATATATAGGAACTTCACTAGTACTTTTTGAATCAACTACCTTGTACCAATGCATAAATTAATCAGGAAGATAATAGAGGACAGTTATGCCACATGCAAGATTCAATGTGACACGGCAGTCATTGACTTATCCTGTATCATTAACTCTGAATTACGGTGTATATTTCTGTATGTATTGAATCCCAAATTCAAGCCCAGTTATGAACTTTTAGCAATGACAGAATAGTTTAATTTTTAATTTGATTAGAGAAAATTGGTTGTGCGTGTTTGTTAACTGATATCTTATTGACCAGGTTGGTAATGGTGGGCTTGGCTTTATTTGGTCGGTTAGTGAGGGAGCACATGAAGATGAATGGAGGCATTCAGTAGCACCAATACCCGTAGATCGACTCGTTGAAATCATTAAAAAACAGGCTGCTGAACTAGAGATATCAAATGACGACGGCAATATTCTTCCACCTTCAGGAGAGCTGGAGCCCAATTCTATGAATGATTCTGATGAAGATGCCAGAGATGATGATGCCCACTTTGAGAAGGAGGTGCATGATTAGTTAGATACTTGGTATACTTGACGGTGGTTTGAACCCTAATCTCATTTGTGTTTTTTTTTTTTTTTTTTTTTTTATTTTAGGTGGAAGCAACTTTTCTAAGGGCTGTAGACGAAAATGTCAAAGAAGAACATGTAATATTAGAAGTCAATTCGCTGCGGTATGATTTAACTGTTACTTCCGTGCCCTTTTCTTCCTATATTTCCTTAAATCTTGTTGTCGTTCTTAGTATTTTCATGTACCATGATTCTTCATTTTGGCTTGGTGATGGTGTGAATCATATGTATTTGCTAGACGCATGGATAGTACTTCTGAAATTCTTAACTTAGGACCAATGAAGATAACTAAGTCATGATGTAATTTCAAAATTTCAAATGTTATGCCTACGTGTTCCACTAATTGAGAGTTATTATCTTTTTTACTTATTGTCCTTCTCTTTTCACAAGTTCCCTTGGGTGTTGCCTTGCCTTCATGGTACTTGACTTCTTTTTCCAATTTTAAACAAACTTTTGCATGTTTGACCTTTTTTAGCACATCTTGATTTCTTTTGTTAAACATGTATATAAATATTCTCATTCCTCATTAGTTGTCTCTTGTGGTTTCGGACGAAAATATTCTCAAACCAACCTAATTATGTTTACTTTTTTTTAAGCTCGATAACTGAAGTATCTGCATAATTTTCCAGCTCTAGAGAAATATTGATAGAACATGTCTAATGTGTTCCGAGAGTGTTCTTTGGTGGTATATTTTATTAAACTTGACTTAATCCTTAATTTCTTTTATGCCTCAGGTTGTCATACAATCTTACTGCTACTGATTGTGCTAGTGCATTATTCTATGCGATTATGAAGTTGGCGTTGGATACTCCACATGGTTCACCTGGTATGTTTTTCCCTCATTCTAGGGAATATTTTCCTTTGACACGCAGTACTTATTAGCAGCAGTACCTTTTCTTCTGTTGTAAAAATATGTTGAGATCGAAGTACTTTATGAACAAAAAGGTCAGGACAAGTGTGATCATAAGCATACATATATTCTTTCTATCCTTGCTTTTATTCAATACTAGAGAGAATAAAAGTTCACAAAAATGAGGAATGCAGAAGGGTGGTGGGGGTCTAATGCAGATTGCATAGTGTGATCATAAGTTGATTGTCTTCTTTGCTTCTGTGAAACTTGCTGCTTTGGCATCTCTCATAAAATAGTTCATAATGACTTATTGCCGATCACCTTCTCTTCAGAATAAGTTAAGGGGAAGTACATATATAAAAGCTCACTTATAATATTCTCTTAGGTCACTGTGGCGCATCTACTTTGTAGAAATACCCACTTGGATTTCAGTAATGAATGACACTATATTCCACATATTATCACTTCAGTCTACGTTTGTTAAGTTCTTTGCATATTGGCCATATAAACTTAACCTTTGGTGCTCAAGGCATGTTCCATTAGAGTGTTCTATTGATGTTGAGTTTTTGGTTGTTTGTCAAATTTTGACCTTTTTTTGGTTGTGTTCTTAAGTTGATTTTCTTCTTAGTTCACTTCTTTATTGCCTTGAACATGTATCAAGCACGGAAGTGTCTGTTTTTAAAGTTGAAGGGTAAGATTTAAAGTTTGGGGTATTGTGGTCATGATAACACACACGTACATAGGGCCGAGTAGTGAACAATGTTCACTTAAATTACATAATCACTTTCCATGTGGATCATTTATATCATTATTAGTGAACTCCCTGGAAATCATCCAGTTGTATGTTGTAATTCCTTTGAAATGATGTGCATTTTAGAACAATTTAGATATAGAATTTGTAATCTTTTCCTTCATATGATGTACCTGACAATTTTTTATTTCATTCTCGCAGGCGAACTTGTTAAAAATGTTGCTGGTGTGATTTTGAAATGGAATAAGGTTTTGAAGTATTACCTGGCTAGCATAGATGACGAGGTTGGTATATAAACATCTTGAATTTGTTACTGACAGTTCATATATATTTCTTTGTTATTCAGCTTTCTTTATTTGTTGGGCCTCATAATTTTCTGTGTGGACCGGATCAACCATTTGAAGCAATCGACACTGTAATTGTTTTGCTGTCGATATTTGCTGCAGTTTTTGCATACGTATTACACAATATTCGTTCGTAACAACTTCCTGGAAATGTTTATGTTTGTCTTGCTGAAGTTAAATTGAATTAACCTGCAATCAGAGAGTGTCTTTGATTTTTCGGCAGTTGGATAATTCTATTGTTTATTTCAGTTCTCCACAAAGTCTGTGTCTCTTTGAATTTCAACTTCACGCATACCACATAGGTTTTACTGTGGTCAGGGTATCCATAAGCATATAATTCTCTTGACTGACAATCTGATAAATAGTTCAGTGGTATTTTAATTGTTATTAAATTTGTTTCATCTAAGTATTACTATTTGTTTTCTTGACTCATTACAGATTGAGGTGATCCAAAAATTTGAAGAAATGTGTTTGGACTCTACAGAATACTCGACGCTTTTTGTTGAGGTAACTTGTTTAGTGTCAGTCTTCATTAACTTAATATTTTTCTGGGATGTTTACGTATAGCCTGCTTCTTACTTGATTAGCTAGTTTTAGCATCTTGCTTTTCTATATTGATGTGCGCTCAAGATATAATTGAGAAAAAAAAAATGGAAAACGCGAAGTCTAATTTATAGGACAACCTTTGCACTTAAAAACTACTCCAAAATATTTTTCTTGTAATAATACATTCTTGTTTAACCTATTTTATTTTCCCTTTAAATGGACAATCTGTTCAACACAAACATGTCTTTGAGAAGGGGCATACAATTCGTACCCTAAAAATTAGAGGGGCTTTAGTGGGAACAAAACAGGCAATTTGTTAAATGCATTTTCAGTTTGACCAACTTCTTTCCAGGTATGTATATTAAAAAGTGCTCCCGGTAAAACTTTCTTGAATTTGGTAAACAATTAGTATAACCTTGAGAATTGGTCTAATTAGTGCGTTGTGGAATTCTATAAATCAAGTGCACGTTGACCGGTAATTGAGTGATGGATAGGGTATCATTCCCATACAGATTTTTTTTTTTTTTAATTCTAGTTTTATTCAGTGAAACAGAAGTGTACTAAAAAGATAACTTAGCCCTAGGGTTCACTGTAAGTAGTCTGAATTGCATTTGTGTATCTCCTTAGGGCTTGTTTGGTTGGTAAGAGTAGTCATGATTAATAAAATAAATTTGATATTATTTGTATTTGGTTAGTCCAATGAACTTTCAGGTCGATCCGTAATCATGGGAAAATATAGAGTTAACTTAATTGGAATTGTGTATTGAACCTCCTCTAGTCCAATTAAACAATTGGTTCTCATAAGATTGCATAATCTTATCTTTGCCAGTTCTATCTATATCTTGGTTTGGCAATCAAACGAGGTTTGTGCAATTTGTGACACGGTTTATTTTCCAGGCCCTTTTTTTCTCTTCATTTTTATTATGCAAACTATGTATGGGAAACATCTTTATATGACAAAAAAACTTCAAAAGATAAATTGTTAGTACCCTGTATTTCAATTTAGTTTCCTATTGATCTGTTACAATCTACTCCCTTGCTTTGTTCCTTATTTGTTAGAATATTGAATCAAGTAAATCATTGTTTAGATTGAAATGAATCAAGTTTGATAAGAATTAAGGAGCTGGAAAATGAAGCCTGTACATATACTTGATGACAACCTATTTATTTTCTGTTGGTATCTACAAACTGATCGAAATTATTTCCAACATAGATGTCATGATTGCTTAATTTTTACCCTTACTCAATGTTTACAACTGAAGATAAATCCTACACTAATAAAACTCCAATAATGTAATTGTTCATTTATCAGATTTTGCATCTTCTATACGACAAAGATGTTTTACAAGAAGATGCTATACTGAATTGGGCATCAGAAAAGGAAGAGGCAGAGGACTCGGATAAACTTTTTGTGAAGCAAGCAGAGAAATTCATCCAGGTTAGTAACAATTGCTTTGTTTATAAGAAATGTTGAACAGATATTTACATGGGAATGCTGGTAAACGAGTTCTCATAATGTGTCATTTGATGCAGTGGCTGAATGAGGCATCAGAAGAAGAAGAGGAAGAGGAGTGACGCAAGTCTGGATTATATATCTTCATCTGCTTTCCAGTATCAGACACTCGGGAATCTTTGTCATTTTGTATACAACGCATTATTTTTTAATTTTCAACATAGCTTATTAGTTAGTTTAATCACTAATCTCTCTGCCATTTTGCTAATGTTTAAAGTTTTGTGAACAGTGAATCTTGAACTTGATGATTTAAAAAGTGCTTGCTAAAGTCCTTTTGGATTGGTTTATATGAAAAATGTTAGTACCCAAAAATAATAAAGAGAGGTTTTGTGCTAGTCCGGGTCTATTTATTTCGACGTGATACACCCAAAACTTAATTGTTGTTTTTTTTTTACACTGTGGGGAGTGATGTATTGGCAATTGGTCGGTCTGAATTCGGCAATCGTAGCGTACATGCCTGCTGGCAGCAGTGGGATTCAAGCTGAATGCCCTTTGACGGGGAACGATTATTTTTTCTAAATCTAAATTTTGGCTTAAGATGTGTAATTACGAGAACCTCCTAAATTATATTCATTTTTACAACTAAAATGTAGTCACGTTATAGTAACTAGTAACCGAACCCGTGCGTTGCACGGAGTTACATATTATAATGAAATCACACAACAAAAACACAGTTATTAAATCGAAGTAATAAACTACAAATTGTCACAAATAGAATGCACATTTGCTGCTTTACACTTAAAAAATATTCATATAAAAAAACACTTAAAAATCGCACTTTAACCGCTCAGAAAATGTCTGCAATTCACCGGTACCCAAGACATCACTGCAGATTAACAATTCCCAATAGTATCATATATGAGTTCAAATAACAAAAAAAAAAGTTATTGAAAGGAAAAATACGAAACAAATTTACGGAAAACAATAACCTTTGATATTGTGTGACAATTCGATCTGAGAGGCACTGCATTCATTTTAATATATTGCATCTTCACACTTTGCAAAACAATAAGAACACACTATGCATAGTTGAATATAAGGCTTGCATAAGAAGTAATGTGAAAAACTGTAAATTAAAATTACCTTAAATTTTGAAATGCATCTTTATAAACAACGTTTGTTGTATTTTTTGAAGTATTTCCTTCTTTGTCAACTATAAGTATTTTCAAACATTTTCGACTGGTAACCTAGAAATAGCTGCATACAGTTGTCCGTGAGAGAAAACAGGCTTCAAGAATAATCCAACATTTTAGAGAGATTGACCTTGGCTATTGTCATAGTGAAGGAAAGAACAATGGGAAATTGCCCCCTCAAAAAGTGAAACAGAATTCTACTGTCTGACAGTGTTAACGACAGTCTTGGAATGAAGACCTTCTGTCCGACATTAGAGCTTGATATTATTTTTTCTTCCAAAACGCGATTTCCCAACCGAGTAATTGTCAATCTTGTACCATTACACAACCTATTGGACATGTCTATATACCTCAATAACATAACATGGACACATCTCTCCAGCTTTAATTCAATTCATGGTTTGGCAGACTTGAAGATGTAATGGTATTCAAAAGCTCTGGAATATAAATGTCATGATGTGAGTCGACACTCTCATTCGCCGTACATGGACTATCGAAATTAAGATAGACTCTTTCCTCCACCGGAACCAAAGACATCATGTAATCGTTCACCTGCTCAACAATTTCATTTGTAGGTGCCAATATAGCTTTGTACGTATTCAGAATCCATGATATTAACGAGCAAATTTGGGTAAGTTTCTTCAGTAATAGACGCTAAATGGTTACCTGATGATTTTTTATGAGAAAATCATCAGGTATCTCAATGTCCATAACTCCATCATTGTCATCACCATTAGTACCATCGCCTATACTTAACACCCAACCTGAGAAGTTCTTCAATTCGTCACAATTAGAATTTGTTGAAGGAAACCTCATATTTTTTGTTAATGTTAACACTTCACAATGCCGCCACAAAGGTGAGGAACGTATGCTCGTTGACACAACTTGTTGTACCTTTTCATCAGATATGAATTTATTTTTTGTACCTTTTCATCAGATATGGATTATAAAGCACCACAAATTTATTATCAACATCATTTTTTCCTCTTTAGACTACCCTGCCCATTATCCCTTCTTTTGCACAGTGGATAACCGTCTTTATCATTAGATGTTCGATGATTGAATTTTTTGGGGAAGTGCCTTGTACATTTCCCATCCTCCATGCATGAAGCAGTTGGATTAAATACACGGCATTGACTATGGATCATAAAAGAACTAACAGAACTATGAAGCACAATATCTTCATTTTCATTAGGTATTTAAGCAGATATTATCTTGTCGATATCTTTTGGATTTGGGTATTTGGAGTCAGGATGTAAAAAGATAAGTATATGAGCATGCGACAGTCCTAGATTCTGAAATTCTATTGTGTGCATAACTCCATACAAAATATAAAACTCATATTAATAATTAAGTAAATGCAGGAAATCTTGCTCCTGTAATATCAATACAATACAATAGTCATAATTTTCCGACAAATTCGTAGTCATGAGATATAATAATTATTTTTACAATGATCATACTTAAAAAACATGTGAAAATTCCACAATGAGGTACAATGATAATCGGATTTTGTAAAGTTGTGATTGACCAAGAACCCATCCAATTTATCAGCATTATGAATTCCACAAAACACGATTAATTATGTTGCCATTGCCCACTTATAAAAAGAAAAAAAAAACCATTCAACGTATAATTAAAAGACGAATGATAAAAGTTGATTATAAAATTTGCTTTTAGATAAAAGTGTAGTAATTATAATGATTATCAAAACACAATCATTTTTACCCCATATCTTGAAGAACTACATTAAATAGTTTATTGGTTCTTCCGTTGATGGCTATCTCCTTTGTTGGATTTGTCTCGACCACATGCCCAATTACATCTAACAAACAATCAATTGATTGATATTACTATAACCGAATGAAAAAAATAAGAGATGGGAAATTGAAATTTTACGTATAATCATCTTTGTTATTGTTCTGAATTTCTTTAAACTCCATAAAGTCAAAGCTAACAGTAGGAATTTCTTCAGCACCGAATGATGTGATGATGATTGATCCAATACTAGTAATTTTTTCCGATGGGAAGTAATTCAAGCTTCCAACTGTTTGCATTTTAACAATGAAGTTACATAACATGTATGTTTTTCCTTCTTCCAGTATAACTTTGAATATATTCATTTGTTTCCTTTTAATGCTGCCATGTACCTTGCCACCTTGCCATAAGTGTGTATATATATATATATATATATATATATATATATATATATATATATATACAGACGTAATTAAAAAAAATAATGAACAAATAACGTTTTGCATATCCCCTTGGAATCCATGAGCAGCATGTCAAGACTAACCATTTCATCTTTGTTGTCGTAATGTGCAACAAACCACATCAACATTATTCATACAACTCCTGCAAATTTTATATACAAAATTCTTAGTGACTATAAAATTAAAGATGCATTTGTGGTGTTAATATATTATATTAATCAAATTATATTATATTACGTACAATATGATTTTATATGGCCATATATGAATATTCATATATTATATAAATATGCATATAATATTTTTAAGAAAGCTCTTTGATGTTTTATGCAATAAAATCTAATTAAACGAAAAAAATATAAAAGAAATCAAAGTCTGTTAATAAATTTTATAAGTCGCTGGACAATAATAAATGGAGAAAGGAAAATGGATATTTGATGTATGTTGGCTAAGAAAACATTAAAATTGCACTAATCGGTGATGAAAATATAACAATAAGAAAACACACTTCAATTGTATGTTTAAGAAAACAATTTATAAAAAAAAGCAAATCTAACTGCGTAAATTCTACAGACCCAACCCCAATTGAGATTATCAAAATCTAGTGCGTATTGATGCGCCACCATTGCTTGTACACATTCTCGGTGCATTGTGGTGATATTATAATCCATGCAACGCACCAAGTCGGACGTTATCACTCGCTCCAGACGGTGGTCACAATATATGCAGGTTAAAAAGAACCCGTTCTGATACGAACCCCGTAGAACTTGTTACGGGACCCAATAATCTTATGCGGAAGCAAGAACGGAACGTCCAAAAAATAAAGGATTCGATTGGCGGAATTCGGAATATTGACCCCGTAGCTATAGAGAGCTAGAAACCAATATTATCAAGGTGGAAGTATTGACCCCGTGATTATAATGAATCAGAAACCAATACTATAGTGCTAAGAATAATTCACAAGAATCCACTCGCAAAATATCCCGAAGAGTTGTTGAAGAACAACGAAGGAGAATTTTAATCTCTCAAAATAATACTTAAAAAACGTCCAAAATAAAAATGACCTAAAACAACCTATTTATAAGTGTCAAAGAGACCTAAACTAACAAGGAAAATAAATTCTAACTTATCTATTATAAGGAAATAATGAAATAAACTAAATCAAGTCCAAATCGGACTCTAAATAACTAGAAATAAATTGTCCAATAATAAAATACGAAAATTAATAATAATCATCTTTTCCAAGTCACGTCTTCTTCGGCTGGATGACTAGACGGGCTCAAGTCCTTGAGCTCGGCTTGCTTCACAATCTGGCCCGATAATTCGCTCCAATTAAGCTCAGCTGGGATCGAAGTAGACTTCGTCAATTCTTCCTTTTGGAGCTCGTGTGCTGCTAAGTTAAGCATGGCTGCTTCAATGCGCTTGGCCCGAGCTCGGGTTATCGGTCCTCTTGGCACATGCAGCTTGTCCAAGTCATCAACTCCTTCATCCAGCTCAGCACTAGCTTGCGTAATTGGATGGATCGTATCATCCTCCCCCTCTTGAAAATGATTCGTCCTCGAATCTGAACCTACATCAAACGGAGATAGGTCAGAAACATTAAATGTCAAACTAACTTGATACTCACTTGGAAGGTCGATCTTATAGGCATTATCGTTAATCTTTTCCAGCACTTGGAAAGGTCCATCTCCTCGTGGCTTAAGTTTTGAACTCCGCTGATTGGGAAACCTTTCCTTTCGAAAATGAACCCAAACCCAATCTCTTTGCTGAAAGATAAGGTGCTTTCGCCCCTTATTAGCTCGGTTCGCAACTTGGTCATTCCTTCTCACAATGTGCTCGCGTGCTTCTTCATGGATTTTCTTCTCTAACTCAGCCTTACGGTTCCCATCTAGACTAGAAATCTCATTAACAGGTAAAGGCAACAAATCCAAAGGAGTTAGGGGATTAAAACCATAAACAATCTCAAAAGGTGAAAACTTTGTA